GAGAGCCAGTCACACCTCTGTCCCCAGCGCCTGCTGGCGTGGCCACCCACCCTGGGAGTCCTGTCTGCCAGGCCCTTACTTATAGCCAACAAAGCGTGGGGCGTATCTCTGGATCTGGGTCTTGAACTCAGACGGGCTCACCACGTCATTGGGGGATGACGTCCATATGGTCTGGATTAGTTTCGCAAACTCTATGGGGAGGAGAGGGGAGAGGGGAGAAGGGGTGGGGTGAGGGTGTGGCAGGCAGGTGCACTATTCTCCGTAAGAAATCCTGAAACTAGAGCCTCAAGCCAAAGTAGGCAGAAGCTACAAACTCTTGGGAGCGGTGCATGTTAAAGACAGCCAGGAATACTCGGGTAACAAGAGGAACCCTGCGGCCCAACAGGGAAGCACTCCGCTGCTAACTGAAAAGGCTGGGAAGGGGGGTGGGGTTTGGGGGGTGCCGAACTACCCGGCAGCTCCCAGGAAGCCTTGGTGCTGTGCTCCAGCAGGACTCTAAGGGGGTGGGGTTGCTCTGCCACATGGGCTCCTAACTGGAGTACAGTAAGAGCAGAGTGGCAGAAGGGCACACAGGGAGGCCCTGCCCAGGCCGGCGTGGGCTCCTCACCTTCCATGAGGGCTGTGTGGGCATTGCTGCTGTGGCTGAGGTCCCGCAGGTAGAGCCTCTGGAGGCAGTAATCTCGCAGCTCCCGGGTGTTGCTCAGGCACTGCAGAATCGAGTTCATGAAGCACTGCGAAAGAGGAGCCGGGAAACCAGTGAGCCACCACCAGAGCCCCAGCTGGCTGGCAGCACCACGAAGGACCCCAGGCTCCTGGGCTGGCCTGGCCACCCCCAAAATGAGTCCTCCTGCAGCCGGTCCCAAGGAGTGAGGCCTGGTGGATTCCCATGACCCACCGACCCGGTGGCATCCCTCATGTTGACTAGTGAGGTAGGTGTGTAGGAGGGCGGGGTGAGCTGGGAGGCCGTGGGAAGGGATGCTCTTGAGAAGGATCCATGCAAGCAGCTGACAGTTCAAAGGGCGAGGGGGAGGCAAGGGGGCCAACAGGCAGCAACTGGCCTAGAGGGGAGCAAATCACCTGGAGCGGGAGGGGACTCTGGTCATTGGCCTGGGGGTGGCCCAGAACTCACCGTGTTTCCAAGGTTTCGAAGACCAGCCAGACCCTGGGCGCTCTTAGAATTCTGTAGGCAAAAACCAGAGGGCACGTGAGGCTGCAGACATGGGGCTGGCCTGGTGAGAGGCTCCTGCTACAGCTTCTCACCACTGGGAGCCCCTTGAGCCAAGCCTTGCACACCCTTCTCACCCAGCCTAGGCACCTTGGAATGAGAGGACCCAGATGGGCTTGTCATTTTTGTGTGCTATTCCCCCTTTGTACACCACTCAGAGACTGAAGAGTGGAATTAGAAGGCGAGGACTCCAAATTCTGGGTGCACAGGTGAGTCCTGGGCACAGGAACTGTCAAGTTCCAGCTCCAGGTGCTAACTCACATGCCCCTGCATGGCCAATGTCGGCAGCAGCACAGCCGTGGTTTCAACAGGCACTCAAGGAAAGTTGAATGACAAAACATCTTTGACTGAGTTTAGAGTCTCAGCTGGGAAAAACAAAAAACCTCCTGTCTGCCTTTGGATCACACTGCCAAGGACAGGTGGAATTCCTTCTGGCTGAGCTCAGCACCTAAGGGCTGATTATAGGCTGGGAGAATCCTCTGCCTGGATGGCTCAAGTTTCAACATCCCCACTGGCCACTTGGCTGGGGGTGGGGGGGGTGGGGGATCCTTGTGATGGTTGGTCGATGTGGCCTAGGAGCAGGGGTAAGCACCTGCTGAAGGTGCCACTCTGGCTCCGGTCCTTGGTGCCAAGGTCTCCTGGTTAGTCCTGGGCATCTCTCCAAGGAATCTGATAACCCCAGGGCTCAAAGGGTTAAGGTGACAGTTTGCAGGAGCCTGGCTGCCCCCTCCCTCAGGGAGGGACCTGGGAGCAGGCAACTCCGGAGCAACACTGGCTAGGGCATGCTGGGGCCAGCTCAACCCTCATCAGAACAGGAGCCTGAAATAACTCGGCTAAAATTACTCATGCAGCATGCTGACAGCCTCGCACAGGCTCAGAGCCCATGAGGTCGTCAGCTAGGGGGTGGGGGGTGGGCGGTGGTGGGGTGGGCGAAAGAAGGGAAAAAAGCAACTAAGGGAGAAGGGTTTTCTCAAGAATTCCCTGCAGTCCCTGCTGATCCCTTACCTTACCAATTACCCGGCCTACCACTAAAGCGGGGGTGTAGGCGGACCCAGACTCGGAGAAGAAGCCTGGCTTGAGAAAGCCCATTGGTGGCAGGTAGGTAGGCGCATCTTTGAAGGGCTTTGCCAGGTGGGTGAGCTATGTATGGTCCCAAACACGACACTGGAACTTACCTTTCTGACAGTCTAAGCCCTGCTGGCATTCCAGTAAGAGAGCCACAAAAGCCAATTCCCTGGGGGCAAAGACCTGATCAGCTCATTCAGGTGGTCCTGCTTGGCCGCCATGAGTCCAGCAAAGCTCTGTGGCTGCGGCCATATGGCCCAGTCAACACTCAAGGCCCAATCCTCTGCCCACGCTGGGCAGTGCGCTAGCAGTCTTGAGCCCCGTGCCCCACACAACGCTGGTCTAAACAAGCTGGGAAAGAAGCAAAGCCATCTTCCACGGTGACTATGCCAGCGGACCCTCTGCTGAGACGGCATGAGGAACAGGGGTCACTGCTCTGCTGAGGGGCTCCCGTGGGGTTTCAAAGACAGTTTCACTGACACAGAGTCAGGGTCAAGAGGAACGCGGCACCCATCATCACCCACGGTTCCTATTCTTCAGAACCTTCTCTTCGTCTGGGTGGGTAGACCAGGGAGGCTCCTTTAGATACCTACTAGGACCCTGTGTTATGTTTATGTTCAGGGTCAGGCTTGGGGTTTGGTTGAAAATTTCCAGGGCCCCAAACCACCTGTCAATTTGTTCACGCTGTGTGAAGAGGCTGTTGGGTAGCAGGGCTCAGAGGGTGGGCGTGGGAGAGTAGGGCTGCGTTTTGCTCTGCCAGATAGTCTTCTGCCAGGAATAGACAGCAGGAGCTCCAGGGAAAGTCAGCACTTTCCACTCCAGAGTGTAACAAAATGTCCCGGGAGTGACCTTTCTTACAGGGAAAACAATCCTGCCTCGGGGCTGACAAGGGACGGCTGGACCAGGAGAGGCTGAGCGAGCCCTTGCCCAGTGGGAGGAGGAGGAGGGGACCCCAGCTGTTAGGCTGGGGGTCATGGGCAGAGTTAGAAAGTTTTGACCAAGAATAGCTTTGATATTAGCCACCAGCAACACCATTCCAACCTCGTCGCCATGGTTGAGAACAGACAGAGGCCACCCTTGTCCATGGGCAGCATCCACCTTCCAGGCAGGAGGCAGGGGGCTTCCCAAGAGCCTGGGCTGGTCTAACATCTGGGCCACACGTCAGGATCAAGGCAGGCTGCACCTGTCCTTCAAACTAACGACCCCAGGAAAGGGCTTTCCTGTCCGCTTCACCTGTGCCGAGGGTCAGCCCTGAGTCCGGGGCTGCAACCAAGGATCCTGGTGTGGGCCTGGCACGGGGCAGTGCACGCACTGCCAGCACGGGAACCGGGTGCCTGTTACATAAGACCTGTCAAGCTCTGGCCCCCTTCTCCCTTCCCCAGCAGGGTAGTGCCCAGCCTTCCAGCCACGCAGGGGATGCTACTTCAGTCCAGGGACACAGCGTCCACTTAGGAGAGAGGAGCCAAAAGAAAAGGAAGTTGCCCTCTTTCACCTGTCTGCAGCTCCTCTGCCCTTCACAGGGTCACGACCCCTGCCGTCCATCCCTAGACCCCTGAGGAGCAGGGAGAGGGGAGCCAGCCCCATTCTGACCAGCCTTCCTGGTTGGGCTTTGGCCTGGGGGGAGTCGCCTGCGCAGATTCCCGGCACACACCGAGAACTAGTCAAGGTTACCCTTTCCTGCACCTGTCCGGGTAGGGACCAGCGATTAAGAGGCACGTCGAGGCGGGGGAAGAGAGATGGGGGTCTGCAGGGACTTGGGGAGTGGGTTTTTAACAAGGAGAGGGGGCTGAGTAAACGTGGGATCACCTGGGGAGGGGGCATTCCTTGCCGGGAGACCCTGGGGAAGGAGGGGTGGGGGCTGGGAGGAATCTGTCCCGGGCCAGGAATCTGCGCGTGGCCCCGCAGCGGGGTGGGGGTGGGGGAAGCGCCCCCGGGAGGGGGCGGGCCTCGGAAGAGGGTCCCGCGTACCTTGGCTTTGTTGAGCAGGAGCCCCACGAAGGTGGAGAGCAGCAGCGAAGGGGAGAGAGGGGACCGTGGCCGAAGCTCCTTGGCGAGAGCGGGGAAGGGGGCGGCGGGGGGCTCTTCGGGCAGGGTCACGGTGTACGAGGTGCGCATGGTGGGGAGCGGGCGGCGGGCTCGGGCCCACACCTAACGTTGGTAAGGGGCACGGAGGTGTCCCCGCGCGGTCCCAAAGCATGGACCCCAAGGCCGGCCAGGACACAGTTCACGGCGCCCGGCGGTAACCGCTGCCGGGGAGCCAGTCCAGGCTCGCGAGACCCACTCGCCCCAACCTCTCCAGCGCTAGCCGCCAACTGCCCGGCACCCGGCTCTCTCGCGCTTCGGGGGACTGGCTGCCCCGAGGGCAGCTCGGGCCGCGCAACGTCAGCCGGGGGCGGGCTCTGCCTCTGACCACGCCCCTCAACCGCCCTCCCCCGGGCGCCGGTTGGTGGTTCGAACGAGGCTGTGCGACCTGCCCCGCCTCCTCGACTTCTTGAGACACCTCCCTGGTCCTTGACCCCCCCGCCCCCCATGCCCCGCCAGCGCTCCATCCGGAGCTGCGGCGGACCATCAGAGGCGAGCGCAAGAGTGGGGCTTGGAGCCCAAAACCAGAAATTAACTTTGGGCCCCGCCGAGGGCACATCCCCAAGAGCGAGTGTCAACTGGGCGAGCATCCCCTTGGGCAGCACGCAGTACCTACCTTGGGAGGGCTGCAGAGTCCGATTAAAGGTGTGTACTCTTTGGGGGGAAATGTTCGTTAGTACACTGTTCAGGTGGTCCTCAGACCCCTAAAGCTAAACTCCACAAGGTCCGAGGGGGTTGCCTTGCCCAGATCAAGAAAATCACATCCTTGGCTCTGAAACTAAGCTTCTCCCATCCCTCCAGCCCCCAGTCCTGGTATGGCACCAGCATCTTTGCCCCTTTTTACCTAGAGCTGACCCCCATCAGGTACAAGAGGTCACAGGCCCTTTTGGTCCCATGAAAGAACATTTTTCTGGCCTTTCTAACCAATTAGCCATCTCCTTGTCTCATGGAATATAAAGTTTGATTTTTGGGTGGGAGGGGGGCGGGCAGAGAGGAGGTAATAAATAGAATAGCAAGGAAACAGGATAGCTGGGGCTAAGGGGACTTTGGCCCTAATGGTGGTGAGGCTTGAGGACCTTGGGGGTCTTTGAGCTTTATTTTTGACTGTCCCCCCCAATCTGCCCGCAGCGATCTGCCTAGAGAAAGTATCTTGTTTGGAGCTTGCTATTTTTAGCCAGTATTTTTAGCGTTTAAAAATACTTGCGCTGCTGCAGTGTGTGCTGTTACTCATGGTGAGCTCCTTCTGTTCCTCTTGGCAAGCTGGGCCCCACATGCACACGCGTGATGCACACACGACCACAGCCACGCGGGCACGGATGTCCTGGACACATGCTAGGCTATACCCTAGGCCCCCCACTAACCAGCTCACTGACAGGAGGGGGGCAGGGTGCTTGTCCGCCAGTGTGACAGGAGAGGCTGGGGGAAGGACGTGCAGGGTACACTGCTTGCCACCGTGATGGGAGAAGCCGTCTCCACAGTCACCATCCCTGCCTAGAGGTGGACCAAGCCTGGACCCTGGACAAACTGTGCTGACAGCCTTGTTCTCCAGGCAGGCTTCCCTCCTCCCAGCCACACCCATTGCAAACTAGTCCTACACTGTCCGTGATCGTGTTTGCTTTCCTGTGCTGTTTGGATCACAATACTCTCCCGCCCTGAATCGACCGGAGCACCTGACACTTGAACCCCAGCCAAAGCCACAGGTGTCCCTGCTTCTTATGTTTGTCTCTGGGCTCCTTCCAGCCGCACCGTGACCTCACTCTTTGGTAGAAATCCCTGCTTCCAACCAACCAGCTTCTGTCCTCCACCAA